AATAATGTTGATCACACACTGATGTTTCGGTTGTTGCTGATTAGTGCTTATCCTAATACAAGGACTTCTCAGTTTCCCAAGCTCTGCCAAAGGGCAGGTGCACAAGAAGCTGGCAGGAGACATGGCCTGAACAGCTAACCCAAAGTGGCCAAAGGCATAATCCACACTCAGTTTACAAACTGTGGCAATTGGCCAGGAGGCACGGATTTGTTTTGTAGATAAAGGCAAATTTATTCCTGGGCAGGACATTGTGATGATGACAGGATTCACCTCTGCCTCTCTAACTATCATTAAATGGCTTTGAGCCTAAGGCAAGAGGTGGGGAGTTTCATCTCACCTTGACTCAGAAATCCCTTCAAACTTGCAAGACAGAGGACAGGCTATGGGGAACATTGTACCCAGAAGAAAACAGGATGGACCAAAGAATTTCCCTGTTTCTTTAATGCCAGTCCAGACCTCCCAAGCCCACTGTGCCACCCCCAGGGCGGAGCAGGAGCTGCCTTTCTGTTGGGCTGAGAAGGGTGGGGAGAGCAGAAGAGAATCCCATCCTTATTCCCCTTCGGTGGCACAAGGAAGATCAGGAATAAGACAGAAAACCACCAGCCACCAGCAGTGGACACCAAGGCTGTAGGAAGGCACAGCATTCCCAGCCAAGCCTCCAAGAGCTGTTGGGTGGTGTAAATGCCTTCATGGGTGCAGAGTGTTCACAGCCTGCTGGCTTCCACACAAGGCTGGCAGACTGCATCAGCAGGGACCTGGCTGCGCTCTCACCAGCACTCAAGAGCTTTATGAATAAGGCAGATGTGGATAATAGTTATTCTCAGTCTCCTGGGAAACTGCTGTTCTAAAGTTCTCTCTTTGTGTCCACATGCAATTTCTAGGTCAGTCTACTTAGAGGACTAAGACATCCCTGGAGCTCTTGAAACAGCTAAGTGCATGCATGGGTCATGGCTCAGTGCTGTGCATATGTATCTATTCATATCCAAGAGCTCTACAGCTGCATGCAGCTGTTGCTAAGCCCAGCATAAGCTTCAGTGCACAATTGTAGCCTGAAATTTGGAACAAGCAGACAAGTCCATAGCTGGCAATGATATCATGGTCTGGTAGAGCGAGCCTTTCATGAATTCTCTGCAGTTCATAGCCAGACTGTTTTAATCATGATCTACCCAAATTACATCAAAATACTTCTTGAAGTTTCACATTTAATATGCAAATATTTAAGATTCCCCATAATAAAATATTCATAAGATATCCTGAATTTGAAGAGACCCATCAGGATCATTCTGGCCCTGCACAGGACACTCCAAGAATCACACCCTGTGCCTGATAGTGTTGTCCAGATGCTCCTTGAACTCTGTCAGGTTTCGTGCTGTGACCACTCCCCTGGGGAACCTGTTCCACTGCCCAACCACCCTCTGGGTGAAGAACCTTTTCCTGGTATCTAGCCTAAACAACCCCAGACTCAGCTTCATGCCATTCCCTCATGTCCTGTCACTGGTCTCCAGAGAGAAGAGATCAGTGCCTGCCAGAGATAAAAAACATGTTTGTAACAGCTAGTGGTGGCTAGTTAATATATTCATTAAAGAAATTAGAGGTTTATGCATCTCAGAAAACTGTGATTTTGAAATCTCTGGAATTTCCCAACACTTTTTCTATAAGGGTGGAAATAAATAAAGCTAGCTTAGAAATGGTGTCTGAAATCCTTTGAAAATGCCAGAGAGACAATGGAATTACAATTCCTGGAGTTACAGGACATTGCTATATTTTAAGCAGTTGCCTTTTCATCTCCATCAGCTGAGAGAATAAATTCATCCCACACTGACAGGAAAAGAGGAGGGCTGCCCTGCAGTCAGGAACAACACCAACCAAAGCTGAGCTTCCTTTCTTCTGTGCACGAGCAATTTGTCATCTTTTCCCTGCATGATCTCAGTATGCTTAGAAGAATTGTCCTCCTTTTATGTGTAAAAGCAAGAGGTGGTTTCAAGGATTTGTTTTCCCCTGAGCACTATTCAGAATAGCACAAGCTGCAAATACATCATATTTGTTCCTTTGCGAGGTGTCTGCATCTTTCTACACAGAGAAAATGAGTAAAACACTAGGAAAACACACACAATGCTTGTTCTTGGGCCATGCAGATCTCCTGCAATGAACAGCTGTTCAGTGTCTTGTACAACACCTCCCAAATTCAAAATATATTAAAAACTCCAGCTACAGCAGGCAAACACACACCAAATGGAAAATTGAAGATAATCTCCACCCTGTACACGTCTCATTTTATCAACACTTGGATCCTGCTCTCACACCCACCAAGATGGCATCTGAATGCTGTTTATGTACCAATGACTGTATTAGAACGCTCTGGTCTGCAAGAGAGATGGGGTAGAATGGAAAAATACACATGAAGACTGGATGGCCAAGTTAAATTGCCCAGATTGGAGTATTTTGCATCATACTGCACTTTGTGTGCACAGAACACAACCCCCCCACATTGATTTCAGCAGCACTGGTGAATGCCAGATGTCTGTCCAGAATCCCAAATCAGACATGAAGAAAATGAAAAATAGCTAATTATTAGAAATTACTCTGTGCCACATTAAGCACATTGTAGCACACACAGTGTATGATACACAGTTTCCAAGGACACCATTTCTAGAGCTTTAATCATGTCCTCCTCTTCCATGCTGTCCAAGTCTCTCTGAGACTTGTACCTCTGCTGGCCACCAGCCACTGTTCATTCCTGGACAGGTTCCTGAAGTTCACTGTCCAATCTGTCTCTTTTTTTCCTTTTATCCAGTCCATCCTTCCTGTTGTTGTAATTTAAATCAAACAGCTTCAACTTCTTGCATCCCCCCCTTGTGCCCAAATTCAGGATTGAGCAGGGCCTGGAGGAGAAAGGTTTGCCAGCCAGTGCAGGGGTGCAGGATCCAGAGCTGTAACTGCAGGAGCCTCACTTAGGCACACCAGCAGCATTTGAGATGGCATTTGAGGATTTTGTCCATTGGAGTATCAGCTGTGTTCTTCATATATAGCAGGATGACAACTGCACTCAAAAATGGTGAATTTTAAGATGTTTCTTTCAGCTTCAGAAAGAACATTTTACTGAGATACTCAGCATTCTCAGAGATTTATTTGCTAGTAAAGTGCTGGATTCTGTTGCCACTGGAATGGGGAGCATGGTTCACAAGCTCTGCACAATTGGGAAATGAATAGAATAGAATAGAATAGAATAGAATAGAATAGAATAGAATAGAATAGAATAGAATAGAATAGAATAGAATAGAATGGGTTAATTTTCAAGGGACCTACAATGACCATCCAGTTCAGCTCCCTGAACAATTCAGGGCGGATGTGTTGCAAGTGTTGAGGGAGGAAATGGGACTGGGTGTAAGGAATCTAAGAAGGCAGGAAGAAAGATTTGACTCTGCAGATCAGTGATACAAAATATTCTGACTCCAGGGGTGTTGATAAAGGGCAGTAAAATTGCACTGGATTCACAGTAAGAGGCTGATAACCACTTGTGCAAGGGCAGGTTAGCTGCAAGGAGTGGTAGATATTTCAGTCTCTTTAAATACTGAGGCATGAAAACTCAGCACAAGGCTTAAAATTATGGCAGAACTGTAACTTTATTACAAAACACTGAGAAAAACAGCTTCACTTTTTTTTTTTTCATTTATAATAAAATTTTTCTCACTTCACTGCTGAATGCTGCAAGTTAAATGTAGAATGTGTCAGCCTGGTGTGATGTTAAAACTAACTTCCACAGCACAAGGAGGTATTGTTTTTCTGTGCAATATAAGGTACAGTTTTTTGAACACCATTTTTTTTATTATTCAAACCCATATTTTCTGTTGCTAAGAACATTAAGTTCTGAAATCTACTTCAGACAGTTGCAGTCATGAATTTTCTTAGACACTCCAAATAGGAGACATCTCTGTTATCCTAAAATGCACTAAAATTGTACAATCACCAGAGGATAAGTTGCAGAAAAATGCTCCATTTTTATTACTTGCTATCAGAGATACCATCTCTTCTCTCAGAGCAGTTAATTTATGAGTTGATTCCAGAGAGCTAACTTCTTAGTTCACTCCAACTTCTTAGTTGGAATGGAATGCCCCAAATGTCTGAAATGAGAAGTACACAGGTGCTTTACAGGGTAAGAGAGCAACATTCAAAGGCAAGTTAAACAGTCAAACTGTGTGATTCTTCAGCTGCAACTTGACAATGATGCAAAGATATTTTGATAAAAATATCCAAAGCCACAGTAGCACTTAATTATCCATTCTCCAACTGTGAAAATTATGTCCAACTTTTGGTATGTTTCTTGAGTTTAGTTATCTATTTGAAGAAAAAAACATCTTGAAGAATAGGCATCCACTTTTCTTCAAATCTATCTTAGAAAAAGTGCCTGTGATGTAAGAGACTCCTATTTATCAATGTCTATCTTATCCTCCACTTCTCTAAGTGCATTTACACCAAAAAAAAAAAAATAAATTATGGAATTGATCTGTTCATTCATTCTGAACAGGTTTTGACTTTTCAGACCCCAGTTCAGAAAGAATGCTTTCCTACCCAGTTGCACTGGATCTCAGATAGCAACCTAAAGGTCCACACCTCAACCATTTCCATGTTGCTACAAGGAGACTCAGGAAAGGGGCAGGGAGATCTGATGTGGTGAAACTGTTGTTTAAGTACCAGCAAAACACACCCAGAGTCCTAGTTCTAAAAAGGCTTAGCCATGCAGGTAACAGCAACACACATGCAGAGAACCCCATCCTGTGAGCCAGTCCAAAGTCACCTTGACAAAGACAAAAGTTCCTTCCTGGGAAGAGTTTACCTTCTCCCCTCTAGGGTCTCCTCACCATTGTCATCAGCCTGCATCAAACATGCAGCTCTTTTATACTGCCTCCTGCAGAACCTCCTTCTTGGTTTTATCACCTGTTGTGTGTTCAGGGCTCCACATCTTCCCGCCATTTTAGCTCTTGCCAAATCTATGTGCAGTCCAAGGCCACCTTTTAGCTCACAGCTACTATTGGCTCAACTGCAGAGATGTCTGTCTTTCCTGACTGGATGGTGGAGGATGCTGGAAGGACATGGGAGGACTGCAACCTCTTGAAGTTGCCGTCTTCTGGCCAAGCCAGTCGGTAGGATGGGACTGTGGAGGGAAGCCTCTGCTCTGTGGGCCTGGGGGGCTTTCTGCACATGTTGAGCAAAGCCTTTAGTTCTGATCGGAAGCTGTCATTGAGCCAGCAGTAGATGAAGGGGTTGTAGCAGGTGCTGCTCATTGCAAACCAGTGGAAGGCAAAGTACAGGGCGTTGTTGGTGTGGATGGTCTGGCTGGAGAGGAGGACGACGTAGCAATTCAAGGGGAACCAGCAAACTGCGAAGAGGATGACAACGAGCATCAGCATCTTGATGGTCTTCTTATTCTTTTTGCGAAGGACAACGTACTGCTCAATGGTGACGTCCCCGATGACGTTGCGCAGCCAGAGCTTCTTTGCCACGGTCATGTAGGCAGCGGAGATGATCAGAAGGGGCAGGACATAGAGCAAAATGAAGGTTGTTAAATCAAGGTACTTCCAGAAGAGGTCAGCAGGCTCGGGGAAATCTGGCAGACACAGGCACCGGGTTACATCCTCACTGCAAATGGAGAGATGGGACAGGATGAGAGGCACATATGGCCAGGCATGGCGAGATAAGTACATCAGAAACAAGGAGGCAGCTGGGAGAGGGCTCCTGCCACAGGTCCTGAAAGCAAACACTGTGTTTATTTCACAAATGTCACAGCTGAGCAGAGCTCTGCTCTTCAAGGATCTGAGCCATGGACCAGCCAGTGAACAATGTGGTGATAATTTCTTATGGGCATTCATGACCTTATGATAATTTTATGAATTTCATCAATTACAAGATTTCCAGCTGCACATAAGCAGTTTTTTATTTTCTGTCCTTTGGCAAATAGGAACACATTCTCTGCACATATTAAGGACCTTTCCCTCCTTAAAGCACTTTCCAAATACTAAGGCTCTTGACAGCTGAGGCAGATTTATCTACTTTCCTAGGGCTAAAGAGTAGATTAAAATCTGTTGGGTTTTAGTGGGCTTTTGGTTGGTTGGTTGGTATGTTGGGTTTTTTATTTCCCATTTCTGGTCTGACCAAACAGGTCAGATTGGTATACGGCATAAATGCCAGTGCATAGAAGTAAAGGGTCAAGCCAGATCCTCTAACTTCTTAGCCTGTTTTGTGTGGTTAGTGTGACAGAATAAAGATAAAATATTTAAAAATAAAAAGGACAGGATATCAGACATTGCCAAAGGAATTGGATGAAAATTGTATTTTAGATCCGTTTGGCTGACCTTGACATATGCTCAAGGCTTTCCATAGAATATAACAAATATGACTGCTCAGAGTTTGGTCTCAACGGAGACTGTGGAGGAAAGCAAAACACATCCTTACCTGTATTCAAAAATAAAGAGCTTTTGGTAGATAGCATGTGGTAGGGAAAAACAAGTTGCCATGATCCAGATTACAGAGATGTAGATAACACCTTTTCCAGTAGATATGCGAGGTTTCAGGGGGTGCATTATAACCTGTGCAAAATCAACCAAAATCTAGGCTTATTACATTTCTGGAAAAAATTATGCTTTTTTAAAATACAATCTTCCAGCCTTAAATTTAGCACGGTAATTTAGCATGCAAGCAATTACAGTAAGATGTACATGAAAACCTGAATTTTAACACCATGAAATATGGTTCAAGTCAGATAGTAGTCCTATACTCAGATTTCAGTACTTTCATCTAGGTCAGAAAAACTGCATACTGCTGTTAATACATGTTCATTACCAGGTTCAATCTCCTTAATAGAAAGGAAAATAAAAAGAGGAGAAAAAAGTCTCAAACTCTTCAGTTTCAGTATCAGTGATGCAAAGAACCAAAGGGTTTAACCAGACCTCCATGGGAATGCTTGTGATAGTGAGTGCATTTTCTGGAAACAATCTTTTTAGCAGAAAATGCCAACTGTAAACAGTTTTGGGTCATTGTTGGGTGACTCCAAGCTGATAATACCCAAATGTGCCCAGTCTTGAGCCCAATATCAACAGTAAGCTACAGCTCTGCTTGTGACAAACACCAGTGTCCTACAGTCAGGTCTCCAGTATTCAGGGTAACAGGAGGTGGGACATCCCCAAACATCAGGAGATAGAGCTGAGAAAATTAACTAGGATGTCCCTTAGAACCCTGGTACTGGACAAACCACCCCAAAGGAGAGCTGTCCACATGAATTTCTATCAGGATCTTGATCTTTCTCCTTGTTTGAGAGCTACTGAATTATCCATTGCATAAAAACTCCCTTTACTCAGCTGGAAGAGATGCCGAGGTGATGGATATGATGAACACCTCCTTTTTTTGTTTTGGTTTTAAACTATTCTGAGAACAAGAACTGCTCCCCTACCCTTGTCAGCTCCTCATGAATCTTATGGTACTCTGGGAGCTGAAAGGGAAAGGACATAGGATCATCTTTTCTCAGTTTACTTATGCCCACCCAAGCTTTCCATCTCTCTGCTTCAGAGAGGTCTCACCTGGTGCCTGTCCACAGCAATGGCTGTAAGGGTCAAGGCAGAGACGTGCAGGGAGCAGTACTGCGCAAACCTACTGACATGGCACATCCCCTTCCCAAAGATCCAGGTACTGTTCACAAAACGAGCCTAAAAAAGAAGAACATTAGTTTTGTGCACCCCACAACCTCCAGTGTACCCACAATTCCTTGTGCTGTGTAAAAGACACTTAGATGCTAGAAGGTTCTTTGTTTAATTGTGTAACTTTCTGGCTTCTGAACACTGAAGAGGCAGGTTACTGCCGCTCAGTGGCCTCCCAAACAATACAGCAGCACAGTACCAAAGATGTTTGTTCTGTTTTATTTACAGTGTACCCTTCTGCAGTCTCACTATTGAGTCAATACATTTGCTTTTCCTTTTAGTCTCCACTTATGGGATAGGGCTGACCTGTACATCTTATCTCACTTCAGGCAAACTACACCTTTTCAGAACAACTTGTTAAACTATGCTAAGCATTTATTTTTTTTCAAAAGGTTTATAGCATTGCTTTCAAAATACTTTAGAAAAGAGAAGGGAAAAAAATCAGATGCTACAAAGTACTAAGCAATCACTGCAAGGCTATTTTTGCTCAAGTACTATCAGGGCCACATTAAAAAATGGGTAATTTCCGATCTTCAGCTAGATAACAGGAATCAGAGAAGAAAAATACATGAAGGGTTTTCCAAAGGCAACTCCAATGGCTGTAATTTGGAGTGGACAGGTATCTGCAGAAGATCCACACACTGCCTATAGCAGGAAAAGCCATCAAAGCACCTTTATGGCACTGTAGAGGCTCAGAGAAATTTATTTTAGTCATGGGGTGGATTGTGGTGGTGCATCCCCCCCTCCCAGTCCGCACCATGTCTGGGAATGCTGGGGTGCTTTCTTTCCCTCTGGGGTGGGGTATCCCAGGCATCTCTGCCCCCTCTTACCAGCGTGAAAGGTGTGTTGAGGAGCGTGATCATGATATCGGCTACAGCCAGGTTCACAATGAACAAGCTGGTGGCAGAGTGCACACGCTTCGTCTTGATGACAACATGACAGACCAGGACATTGCCGAAGAGGGCGAAGACGATGATGAAGGAGTACGCCGCGATGAGCAGGGCTTTCACCGTGGCGCTCTGCGACTCCGCTCCGTACCGGCTCCTGTCCACAAAGCTCCGCCAGTCGGCCAGGCTGTCATTATCCCAGGAAAAGAAACCCGACACGTTCGGGACTACAAAAGTCTTCTCCAGGCTCCCATTGAGGGATAGCTTTCCCGGGGTCACAAAGGCGTTAACCAAGTCGGGGAGGGTGAGCCAGACGAAACAGGGTAACATCTCTGGAACCGCTCGGCTGCTCCAGCTCGGGAAGAGCGCATTCGCGGGAGCAGAACCCGCTCCGTGCGCCGGGAGAGCCGCTCAGCCCCGCTCAGCCCCGGCGCGCTCGGGGCTGCAAACGCGGCACACGAGCAGCGGGAGCGGAGAGATGCTCCTGCCTCCCGCAACCTGCTTCTCTTCCCCTCAGCTCGCCGCTACTTTTGCTCCTTCAGCCAGCCTTATATCCCCAGAAGAGCTCCGAGCCGGGATCTTCTGCAGTCATTGGGCTGCATGACATAATTTGAGATCTGACGCGCTGCTTTTCCACGCAGTTGCGCTCCCGGGCGCTACTCCGAGGTAAGTACATCTGTGAGAAAGGCAAAACCATTCTCTTCAGATGTCAGGATCCGTTTTCTCTACCAGCAGCCAAGCTCAAGCAAATTCCATGCTGTTTATACACCAGCAGCATGTGTGCCAGCTCTGCTCTCTCTCAGGACAGGTCAAATCTGAGCTATTTTACAGGTTTGGCAGGCCAAGTTTCAGCCTATTTCTAGAGAAGAGAAGAGAAGAGAAGAGAAAAGAGAAGAGAAGAGAAGAGAAGAGAAGAGAAGAGAAGAGAAGAGAAGAGAAGAGAAGAGAAGAGAAGAGAAGAGAAGAGAAGAGAAGAGAAGAGANAGAGAAGAGAAGAGAAGAGAAGAGAAGAGAAGAGAAGAGAAGAGAAGAGAAGAGAAGAGAAGAGAAGAGAAGAGAAGAGAAGAGAAGAGAAGAGACTGTAACAGATGAACTGTAAATAACAAGTTGCCTTATTGTACTTAAGAGTATTTTTCCAAAGACCTTTTTTTCTCTCAGAGAGACATGGAATACTCCAGTTTCCCCTTGGCAGGTATTTCCTCTCAGGCAAAGAAATTAAAGCCTGATATGAAACTGCTTTCTAGGATTTGTAGAAATAGAGGTAGTTACAAAGATGTGATTACACAGGACAGAGAAGGGGAACTGTCCCAGCCAAGTAAGCCCAGTATCCAAAGCAAAGAAGCTGTATGCTGCTCCCAAGCACTGATGATCAGATAGCAGCATGTGTGTTCCCTCGGCCTTTTCCACAAAATACATAAGGAAATAGAAAATCAGGACCAGGAGACCAAGACCTACAAACCTCAAACAGAAAGATGTGCCACTTCCCAAGTGCACATGTACAGTGCTGCACCTCTGCTGAGGACAGATCTGCCTGGGTGATGCCAACTAATCCCAGCCAGAGCTGGTTTCATACATAAAAGACAGGCATTAATTAAATGACCATTATCTGAAAAGCTTGCCTTATAAGCTGGTCACTCACTGGGGTAAAGAAGTCTTCCAAAAGATGTTTGTGACTGCCTGAGTGACCTGCTCGGGCTGCCTTCCCTTTACCACCCTTCAGGAGCTAGGCACAATAAAACAAACAGAATAGACAACCCACAGTGCTACTCTGCACACTGCCACCAGAGTTTGTTTCTTCCATAAAATAGTCCAATTTAAGCTCTTGAGGCAATCCAGCTGTGTCAGAGAAAGCTTTTCAGTGAGCCTGCTGGAGCTGCTAAGGTGGCAGTCACACCTGACCATTCAGAGAGAAGAAACATGTCCCACTCAGAAGCACTAGCAGGAAACCAGTCTCAAATAAAGGCCCAATAGTATAAAGTGGGACAGAGCAATGTTCTTATAGGTTTAGGATGAGAACAGAGGGGTCAGTGGCATATGTCCCCCTGCTTGCTCTGCTGCTCCAGCAACTCCCAAGGCCCCCTCTCCCTTCCAGTGCTGCTGGCCAGTGCATAAGGGCATTCTGCCACTCAAACACCAGCTCTGACTGTTTCACATCTATTACATCCTGTTCTGTACTATAATCTGTATTTCAGCAAAAATTATCAGCTTTGTTTATTTATGCTCCTTGATCTAATTCTTAATTTCTAGCCAGGTACCCTTGCATATGTAGCCGGAGCTGTCATTGCCTTTGAAGATGATGCATCCAGGAAAGCAGGGCATCTTCTCACCTCCTAAACCAGGCTGCTGCAGGATGGGAATCTCCCCCCCAAGTCAGCTCAAGACCACCCTGCTCTGAGCTGCATTCTGTGCCTTGTGATCCAGAGGAGGTGGTCCAACCACATTGGGCAGGCACACCCAAAATACCCACAAAGTGTCATGCTCAGTGGAAACTCTCTGTGCCAGGTGTCTCCCACACTGCTGGTGTGTCTTTCTCTGCCTCACTACACCTTTCTGATTTAGTTCTGTATTTAAAGCATACTCCAGTATGAGCTGTTTAAGCAGCTCACCTAAGTTTGGTTGTTACTAGAGAACATGCTATAGCAGATTTGCCAGTTTGGTAGTTGCTCCTGCCAACTTCACCCTTGTTCAATAATCACCAGCACTCCAACAGTAAAACGGCAGCTGTACAGAAATGTCAGGATTTGGCATGCTGAATGTGGTTTTTATAAAAGGCACCTGTGAAATGATGCAATTTCTAAAGTAAAAAATAATGTTTGAAATAAAGCTATATGACTGGACCATTCATTCAGTCACCAAAAAAGTCACCAAAAATAACCTGTGCAAGAGTACTCTTAACAGGATGATAACAAATTAGAAAACAAGCCTGGTGGGAATAAAAGATTATAACAGTATAAAAAAGTCAGACACGCCAAAAAGTTTGGAAGCATTCAAAAAGAGGAATAATGCCTTCTTTTCTTTTTAATACACAGCACAGTGTGATTCTCTCCCTGCCCCTGCCCCTGGGAACAGTCTTTCACTATGATGACTTTAATGACTTCTTGAGCTTGGCATTTGAGCTTTGCTGAATTTTTGAGCTTTTCTGAGCCAGGGGAATTGAAGTTACACGGGTGAGAAGTGATTTTTCAAAAATTACCCAGTGTGACCTCTGAGAAATCATGCTGATTTTTGGAGCATCTTGCCCCCTCATACAATCACTTACATTAATGTTTAGGACAAGCATCTCTTTACAGTATAGTCTTTCTCCACACACCAGTTACATGTGAAGGCTGCTATGTTTATCTTCCATAGATAAAACACAAAGCCACTTTGAATTTGACAGCTGACTGAAAAAAAAATTGTGAAAAGGGAGAAAGAGCCTTTGATATGATTCCTATTATTCATACACATTCAGCTAAAATCTTTTCCTAAGATGTTTGTAAATCAAAATACAGAATCCCCATTTGTACTGCTTGAATTACACAGCTGAATTAATTCTCATATACCATGATGTTTAATAACAGTGCAATACTGGGTTTAAGTTCTCTTGGTACAGTTGAAATCACTAATACATTTTACAGCTTCAATACTGAAAATTGTATTCTTGTGTCCAATTATGACTCTGAGTTCAGTTTTCAACTGTATCCACAGCAGATTACAAGCAAGTACAAGTTCCACTCTACTGAGACTGTGTCCATATTCATACCTGCAGACTATTATAAATTTACTTCTCTGCAAAATTCAAACCAGAGATCGAGTTTTATAGAAAAGATATAACTGTCATTTTTTATTATCATCTTGGAAAGAAAATAGAGTTTCACAGCTTTACAAAGAACTAGCACTTTCAGGCAGTACTTCAGAATATAAGACCTTCTAGCCTAGTTGCATCAAGCAACCTAAAAGACATTATACCAAATTTGGTGCCGTGGAAAAAAACCAACAAACCCAAACCAAACCATTTCACAGAAGTGAAAATGGAAGGCAAACCATCATTTACAGAGAAATATCACACAGACAAAGTTTTGCAAACTGCCTCCCATTTTCTTCACAAACTTCCACAGTCTCTTGCACAGTGAGGCAGAAATCACTTAGTTCTTCTTGACGTTGCAGGGCTCATGAATGGATCATCCTGCAGTTTGCAAAGAGATACACATTACTAAAATTAGCAGGCATTCCAAGCCATAAAAAAGCAAAATCACCTTTAGATGAAACTAGAAGGCCTGGCCATACAATTCCATGTTTTCTGACAAATCTGTTTTTGTTGGTTTTGATGTGAAAGAGGTCATTTATTGACTTAAAAGTCCATGTGACGTATGTGCAGAGAATAGAAGTTTATGTCAATGTGACCACAACAGCTACTTTGAAAAAAGGAACAATCTATATGTCAGTTGTAAATGAGCAGCACATACCTCAGTAAAATTATGTTTATATACACATTGCATATCATAATTTACTAATATTTGTATGATTCAAAAATACTGTTTATTTTTGCATATTCAAGCAAGCATGTTTTTATTTCAGGTACTAGAAGAGATAGCACAGTGGGGAGAAGGGAAGAGAACGTAGCATTTTTTCTGAAGTGGCCATCATCTGACACTGTTAAGGAATGGATTCTGACCGTGCACGACAGACTGTGAAAACAAACTGCACAGTGCTTGACAGAATAGTGATTTATATTCAGTGCAAAACTGTGTAAAATGTTCTACTTGTTTAATTGTGGAAGAAACCATTTCCTAGCAGTTCAAAGATACACTGCAAGAGCAGACATATTAGACTTGAAAACAGTGTTTTAAGAACTGTGCTTAGATAATTTGCAACAATAAAACGATCTGAAAAAAGCTGTTTCTAAATTAAAAAAAAATTCCTTTTTACAAGAATAAAATATATTATTATAAATTTTAATAATATAATCATTATAATTACAATTATAATTATAAATAATATTATAATTGTTATAATATAATATAAAATTAAATGAAAGTATATAGCTAAGCACCAGAAGAGATTATAATTACTTTCTCTCCCAGTCAATTATAGGTCCACATTTCAATAATGACAATTCACTGATTAAAAATTGAAGGGAAAAAGGATCAGGTATTTTTCTGAGGTCCCTTCTAGCCTTATTTTCAATAATTATGCAGGTAGTCTAATCAAAGTTGGTTGAAATAATCTAGCCCTCTTAGTGAAAAAAAAAAAAATCAATTTCACTCTGAAATGATTTACTCAAATAGTTGTAAAAGAGTGATCTATAGAAACTTACATGAAATAAAAACGAAAAAATAGTACTGTATACCTCATCTGACTCAAAATCAACTCCTCTAGATGCTTGGCTTTGTGAACTTCTCTTACTAAGTGAAGACATAGTTGGCAACCTTGAAACATACAAAGAGAAGAAAACAGCATCAGCATGTTCTCAGTCACCAGACATTCCAATAACTTCCCCTTTAGCTTAAGAGTTGTGTAACCAATACACAGAGGAAAAATAGACATAACAAGAAGTAGCGCA